GTCGGTTCCATGGACCCAAGATGGCAACATTACAGCTCAGTGACAGGAATAAGACAACACGGTCAGAAATGTCATGGAGCAACACTGAGCTCCTATCTCAGATTTAACCTGGCATCATGCACGATACATACAGTATGTTGCCTTGTCCTCTACTAATGTTCACTCAAAAGAATGTGAGTCTTCGAAGGGTGAGTCTCACAAACCTGTGAAGAACATGCTAATGTTGCATTTTACCGCAAAATCAAACGACGGTGTAAAAAAGTGTAATGTAGTAGATTTAGATTTAGAATGATTTATTAATTTACAATATTATATATTTTTGGGAGGGGGCGAGGATGAAATATGATGTAAGAAATGTGGAGAACACGTCAAAGTTGTATTACAAAACAAAATAAAAGAAATGAAAACTTTTGCTTAAAGAAAATGATGCTTATGCATCGAGACATTTAGAGTAATACAATACATTAAGACAAAACTGTTTAAAAATTACATTATATAGTAAATTATTTCACTGCATCACATCATTTTCTTTAAGTGATACACACACACACTACATATAGACATATTTTGCTTAAAGAAAATTATGCTTATGCATCTAGACATTTAGCAATTTAGTATGTTTAAAAATGGTTAATTATTAATTTTTGTTTTTGCATTAACAATTTTTACTATTTAATATTTCTTTCAACGATGATTCACATTTATTTTCAGATTTTGGGATGAAATAAGATACATGTTCTTAACAGTTTTTTGTGAGATTCACCATTAATCTTTTATCAGACTAAGTACAGTGCAATGGGGTGGGGGGGGGGGGATTTCAGTGTGACTGATGCACAGAAGATTTTTATTTGCCATTTAATGCTTGGCGCTTCCGTTCCGATGCAGGACGGTTAAAATAAGATCTGCTACAGTATTTCATGTCAGAAACGTGGGACTCGATGGCAAGGTAGACTAACTGCTTCCTAATTGTATGCGCAACATTCGGTAAGGTAGATTGGGTACTAGCACCTTAAACCACGACATACCGACCCTAGATTTCTTAAGCAACTATGTAATTAAGATCACATCAGTATTAGTATAAAATAAACGTATGCAACTTTGAGCTTATTCTTTTTTTCTCATTAGATAAATATATTTTTAATAATTTATCCTTTTTTACCATTTGTGACCTGTATGCTAATAATTTTATGGCAATTTTTTTCACGATTTCAAGTACCTCAGAATTATTAGGGTTTTGGAATACATAATTAATTTATGTTGCAAATGATATATTTTTTCAATCTATAATCTTTTATACAAACTGAGGAAGAATAAACAGACACACTGCTTCCATAAGTCACCTTCAAGGGGACTGTTATGGCTTCAAACATAATTTCCATTTCCTATTTGACGTAGATTTGCTTTCTAAATTGGGGAATGGAGGACGGGCTCCCCTCGCACGTATCACACGGATCACATGGCAGGCGTTCGGGGTGGCCCGTCTGCGATCAGTTTCTCTCGTGTGGTGGATTTATGTAAAGGAAACTGATCTGAGATCTCACAACACAGAGCCACTCATTTAAGGTTGGAGAATGGAAGCCTAACAGTGCCTGCAAAGTGCAAGATAAGGAGGGAGGGGGAGGAGGGGTTAAAGTGCAATACCAGCGTTTTTCTCAAACAGGCTTTAATCAGAAGCTTGGGAATCAGTATGTGCATGACCATTCAGACGTCATATTTGTTTTTGGACAGACGCTCTCTGATTCAGAAACGTTCGGATAAAGCCTGCAGTGACCATTCTGATTGTGCTCTTCAATGCTTCACACCACGTGCTTGTGCATCCAAAACACTCTCACTATTGCATACAGTAACTGAGGTCCACACACATTGCTTGTACTCCTATCAAAAGTGAAGGACTCGATGGCAAGGTAGACTAACTGCTTCCTAATTGTATGCGCAACATTCGGTAAGGTAGATTGGGTACTAGCACCTTAAACCACGACATACCGACCCTAGATTTCTTAAGCAACTATGTAATTAAGATCACATCAGTATTAGTATAAAATAAACGTATGCAACTTTGAGCTTATTCTTTTTTTCTCATTAGATAAATATATTTTTAATAATTTATCCTTTTTTACCATTTGTGACCTGTATGCTAATAATTTTATGGCAATTTTTTTCACGATTTCAAGTACCTCAGAATTATTAGGGTTTTGGAATACATAATTAATTTATGTTGCAAATGATATATTTTTTCAATCTATAATCTTTTATACAAACTGAGGAAGAATAAACAGACACACTGCTTCCATAAGTCACCTTCAAGGGGACTGTTATGGCTTCAAACATAATTTCCATTTCCTATTTGACGTAGATTTGCTTTCTAAATTGGGGAATGGAGGACGGGCTCCCCTCGCACGTATCACACGGATCACATGGCAGGCGTTCGGGGTGGCCCGTCTGCGATCAGTTTCTCTCGTGTGGTGGATTTATGTAAAGGAAACTGATCTGAGATCTCACAACACAGAGCCACTCATTTAAGGTTGGAGAATGGAAGCCTAACAGTGCCTGCAAAGTGCAAGATAAGGAGGGAGGGGGAGGAGGGGTTAAAGTGCAATACCAGCGTTTTTCTCAAACAGGCTTTAATCAGAAGCTTGGGAATCAGTATGTGCAGGACCATTCAGACGTCATATTTGTTTTTGGACAGACGCTCTCTGATTCAGAAACGTTCGGATAAAGCCTGCAGTGACCATTCTGATTGTGCTCTTCAATGCTTCACACCACGTGCTTGTGCATCCAAAACACTCTCACTATTGCATACAGTAACTGAGGTCCACACACATTGCTTGTACTCCTATCAAAAGTGAACTAAACGGGCGAATCTCACAAGAACATGGACAAATTTCACCCTAAAATCAAATGAAAAATTTTTTTTTTTTTGCATGAACAAAAGTCTAATTTTACCATTGTTAAGATTGCATTGTGACATTATTCTCCTGACCATTAAGCACATTTGCCTACCAAATTCTTATTACCGTAAAGTGAAAAAAATCATTACTGCAATACACACACACACACACACACACATATATATATATATATATATATATATATATATATATATAAATTATTTTAATTACTTATTTAAGCAGTACAAAAAAATACTACCATAATGTATAAAACCTAAACATTTCAAATAATATTTTTTATTATTATAATTTATTAAATTTTTTTTTACAAAACATGAATGAAAATGTAATTTTTTTCATGTTGGTAATGAGAATTGTATAGAAGCCTGTTTCAACCATGGAATTTTGGGGGGAAAAAGTAATTGAGACACTCTATCTCAAAATTATAGTAAATTGAGAGTTTATATCTCACAACTCGGACTTTGTTTCTCACAGTTCTTGGGAAAAAGAATCGCAAGATATAAAAACACAGAAATGCAAGACATAACCTCACAATTCTGGGGGAAAAAAAGTCATAATTGCAAGATATAAACTTTTTCCTCACAATTGCAAGTTTTCATCTCCCAATTCTGACTTTTTTCACAATTCTGTTTTTTTTCTCATAATTCTGACTTTTTTTCTTTCAATTGTGAGTTTATATCTCATAACAATTGCGAGAAAAAAAAGTCAGAATTGTGACATAAAAAGTATTTTTTAAATTTTAATTTATTTTTTATTCTGTGGCAGAAACAGACACCCATAGAATTGGGAAGTACAATGTGATTAATTGTCATAAAAATTATGTTCCACTGAACATACAAATTAGTAATCCTAAAAAAAGCTTCATTTACTTTTAGCAAAATAGAATTACATTTTTCTTTGCTATTAATTTGAAGTGAAATTATTCAGACAGTTTTTGTGAGATTCACCCAAATTTCCTTTTTTTCAGTTTGAGTCTTAGGGGCCGTTCACACAGGACGCATTTTTGCGTTTCCACTGGTTTTCTATGTAAACATGCGCTAGATGGCCATGTGTGTCATGCATCTTACACGACACAGTGATTTAAAAGTTCAACTTAAAAAAAAAAACCACATCTCTAAAAGTTGTTTTTCATTCCACTGCCTCTCGTCTTGCGTTTTTAAACACAAAAACTTTTCTTTTTGTGAATGACCCCTTAAGTTTAAGCAAGGACTGATGACATCACAGATGTCAAAGGGCATTCCTATGCTTTGAAGGATTAGATTTTTCCTGCCAACACATTTGTAGTCATTTATTATCATTGATTTGAATTTCTCTAATCGTCTGCACTGTATACTCCTTCTATGTTAAGCACCACAAGCTCTTATTCCAATAAAAAACAACAAGACAAAATGAAAGCACATTGCACTACCAAATTTCAAAGCAGTTAAAGGTTTTAGACCTCCGTGTGAACTGCAGCAAACTACAAACTACTGCAAACAGCCCAAAGGGATGTAGGATAGGGAGTTACGCAAGGCTACGGGCTTAGACCTCTCACGATTCCGAGCAAGAGACAGGACAAGAAACCACGAAAGCAAAACTATTGCACAGTAGCACACTGTTACAACAGCCGTCGATCTAAATCCAACCCTCCGTTCAGCTGCCACTGACCAAACACTCCCAAACACATCCGAGGAAAAGCAACCTAAATGATGACCAACTTTTTTGACGCATCTTGTTTGAAACCGATGGACAAAAATGAATTGCTTTGAATATATTCATATATAGATATAGATATTATATGTACACAGCAGAGTATAACCGTGATAAAACAGTAAATTAGCTCACCATGCTAATTGAATGAGTTCGATATTCTTTAAAAAAAATAATTCAAACACATCATGAATCCACTGGACATATTGATGTAACTACCCAAAAATTATGTAGAAATGTAACTTCTGCTCTAAAAAAGCTTCCATAAAGGCCTATGTGTATATATATGTATATATATATATATATATATATATATATATATACCATATATATCAACTGGGCGCTTAAATGTTATTGA